AATAACAGTAATAAACTGTAATAATAATCAACAAGTTATACTTATCATAATCTGTAATAGTAATAACATTCAACAATAACAGTAATAAAGTGTAATAATAATAATCAACAAGTTATACTTATCATAATCTGTAATAGTAATAACATTCAACAATAACAGTAATAAACTGTAATAAAATAATCAACAAGTTATACTTATCATAATCTGTAATAGTAATAACATTCAACAATAACAGTAATAAACTGTAATAATAATAATCAACAAGTTATACTTATAATCTGTAATAATGATTCAAAACATCTGTTAAACAACAAGAAAAACAAACTTAAACATGAATAAAAACAGTCTCAATGATGAGAATGGACTAAAATCACTGCAAGGGCCAGTGTTACTGCTAGACAATGACTATATTTTCATGATTCTTCTTGTAAGGTGGAAATTGTATCTTATTCTTTCAGTCTCATGCGAGTCGATCTGATAACGTTAGCAGGGTTACAATGAAACTTTTGAGCTTCGTAAAAACAGAAAAGGGAATTTCAAATTAAATCCTTTCAGAATACGTATACTAATTTATAATGTTAACATGTGTGTTCAAAAAATCAATGAAAGAGAAAAATAAGAAACCCTATAATCTAAGCACTTTCAAAAAGTAGGTAGACCTTCATTAGGGTTATACTAGGAATGTTTCTGATGACTAAAAGGTCTACCTTTTGAAAGTGCTTAGATCATAGTTTGTTAGGTTTATCCCTGACAGTAAACTATCTAATTCAACCATTATGACCAGTCGAGTGATGGAAAAAAATGTGAAATCATATTCTCTGAAAATGTGACTTCTGACAGACATATGCGTTGGAAAAGCTGCAAGTAAACATTACGAGCTAAAGTGTACCAAAAACAGCTATTTCCTTGATTTTAGTATGATAGTTATTTCCTTGATCTTAGTAAGATAGTTATACTGACCTGTTGGAGACTGGCACATTCATCACTGTATGCATCACAAATTAAAATGTTTTTTTACGTTATCTTGTACACTGGCAAACTTCTGAAGTGTTTGAGGAGTTTCACCACAAGGATCTGGTAATGCAAGTTCTATTTCAGTAAAGTTGGTGGCCTCATCTGTTGACCACTGGGCATGATGAGAATATGTGTGTACTCTTAAGGCTTTGGCACTCACAAAAGACTGACCACAAAGTGGGCAGGACAAAGGTTGAGGTTTTACATTCTGCCCTGAACAATGATTCACTTCTTTATCTATGTCCACTGAGAGAGAATTGCTGTTGTCTTGGTGTGAATGACCTGGATTTTCAATAACATTGTCCAGTTCCTGTTTTACTTGAAAATTAACAGTCTTTGTGGCTGCCAGTTTATTTTGGCTTAATGACAAAGCAATAGACTCTGGGGAGCTTAGAGAATGATCAGGGGACTCGGCACCTCCAATAACATTATCCCCCTGCCATACAACTTGCCTAGGCTCTTGGCGGTAAAGCCTTTGAGCAATAAGCTGCAGGCTCTCAAGGGAACTGTCACAGTCAGTTGTATCTATCTCATTCAGATTTGTCCCAGACCGTTCCATCTCTGCATACATTCCAAAAGGGAGTCTTCCTAAACACTCTAACTTCATAATATGCATTTTAGATCGAAGATGTTTGGCTAAGTGTCCATGAATTCGAAAGGCTATTTTACAATCACTACACTTAAATGGGCGAGGATTATCTGCAGTTGGGGTTCCAAATGTTTGGTTCATATTAACTTTGTTGTAGTGGCTCACAGAACGCTTGTGTTTCTGTAGATGCCCTTTGGTGCGAAATGAGACCACACAGCTGTCACAGCGGAAAGGCCTTTCAAAGTAGTGAATATTTAGATGCAACCGTAGCTGACTGGGTTTGGTGAACGTTTTATTACAAATGTCACATACACACTTCCCATCATCCAGGTTCTGTCCACACCCTGACTTAGCAACAATAAATTCAGCCTGAGGTCTAGAAGAAATTGGATACTGGTCATCATGGAGGATACTCTTTGAGGGTATATGATCTGGTGATGGAGATGTCACTGGAGATAAATGTAGTACACTGTCATCTACTGACTGTCTAGAACCAGTCTGTTGCTGAAGTTCCCATGGAGACTGTGATCTTCGTTTTAATCCAGATGTATTTAACATCAAGGGCAAGCCTCCAGTCTTCAGAGCAGTCAGGCTACCATACTGAAGACAAGCCCCAAGCAAGCTATCTATTGGTTCTACTAGTTCCTCAGGATGACTGTCTGCAGAAACGTTTGGATCAACCTTCATGTCTCGTGTAACACTAAGATCCATTGGTTGGTCTATCCCTGACATAGATGTTTCATCCTCACTGTTTGAAGGAACAGATAAGGACATGGCTGGAAAAACCAAGCAGTGATCCTGATCTTCACTTTTGGAAATAATTTGTTCACTATTCGAACTATGGCTTAAATCCTCGTTTTGTGATAAATCCTTGTTTTGCTTCAAATCTCTGATAACAGAGAAGGAATAACGACGACTTGCAACTGACTCCCTTGGTAAAGAAATGTCCCGGCTAGCAGTTTGATTTTCAGCCAGGGCCATTGCAGTTACCTTTTTACCTGGTGATAAAGGAATGTGAACTGAGGATGATCGAGACCTATGTGATAATGGTGGTCTTAGCAACAAACTGTCAGCAGGAACAGCATCATCTTGTACAGTTAAATACTGGGAAGCATGATCTTCATCAACAGAAGGTTCTGTTAGCTGAATATGTAAAGATTCCTGGAGTGGAATTGTTAAGACATCTTTTGGTTTTTCTGAAAAATATTCAAATTTTATTACCTGGAAAAGTGTTATAACAAGTTTATTACTTATGCAGTGAGATATGTAATATGCAAAGTACCTAACAACTGCACTTTTAATGTAATTAGAGTCATTTAAATCATTGACTCTAATTTAGTAGATTGAAAAAGGTTTTAAGGAATAGTTATTGGAACTTAAAAACTTGCATATTTTATAGTTATGATCATCTTCTACAGAAGAAAGAAAATATTATCAATTCATGTAAACCAATTAATAAGCTAATAAAGTTCAAGTTCTGACAACCATGTTAAGAGTGAGGAAATTGCAATGGATTTCTAAA